ATTTGGAAGATAATAAGTGTAATTTAAATTCATACTTTTCAGCATTTTATTCATCTAAAACAAATAGGCTACTATTAAATATTGACTATTTTATTAACTAAGAGCATCTGGGAAAACACTTATGATTAGGTTAATTTATGTTATATTTTCCCCTCAACTTGTAAAAGATTAATCAACCATTTTATGGTCTAATTTAGGCGCCTAATTAAAAACAGAGTTCAACACATGCTACACTGTCTTGCTAATAAATCTTGACAGCTTCGTAACATGACGGTTCGTATTTCAAATTGTTGCATATAAATGCACAATTCTGATCTTCACCCAGAAGCTTGAAGCGAGTTACATACTTGGTTTAAGCTCCAGGGCTGAGAAAGTACAATTACTTCAAAAAGGATTATCCCCAATCAGATCTTATCTCACACTTCCCTTAGTGAAGACAGAAACAGTCTTTGCCATCCAGTTTTTAGAAATAGACTAGAAAAATAGGGGAGAAATTAGGTTTCTCAACATTTATTAAAAATGTAGGAAAAGTTGCTATATTCAGCTACTAACTTTCTGAAGGAAGACTTTCTGAAATTATTGGGTCTTAAAATCTAATTCTAAAAATATCTCCCCAAAGTTTCAGTTCCAATTGTCTTCTGGTTAAACGTTTTCAGTCTTGACCTGGGGCTCTGTACTTCTTTTAAATGAATAAATTCATTCCAAGAGGTTTTGGAACATCTCTTTTAACCCTATGTCCTCCACACCTCCCAGCCTTAAACAGGGGCAAATGGAAGAGAATAAATCTATTCTCAGTAGGGACATTCGCTGTTTTCTCAGCCTTTATACTTGAAGTATATTTTTGTCATTTTAATGACTCCTTGGAGCCTCGCTGTCCAGTTCAGGCAGAGAAGCGAATCTGCCGCTGTGATGTCATTATCCTCCCTCTCGGCCTGAACCAGCTTTGGCCGTAGCGACTGGCCTGTCCAGGGTCTGATCGTCTTTCACAGTGACCGACAAAGTGAGCAATGAACACCGAGGTCACTGGAGCACATCAGAAAACTCAAGCCCTTTTAAAGCAAGCCCAGCTTTGAGCTCATCATAGAGGACCACCATCCTGGTTTCGGTCACCTCAGTGAAGCAGCAGGGGACAGAGTGAGCTGGGGAGCAGCAAGGCCTGAGTGAGGGTGATCTATTAGCTTTGCCGCTTTCTAACTGAGACATCTTGGGCAAGTTCCTGGGCCCCTCTGTGCCTGTGTTTTTTCATCTATAAAAGTACCTACTTCACAGGATTGTAATGAGGATTATATTTGCTAATCCTGTAAAATTTGAAACAGTACTTGGCACATTGGGAAAACATTCAAGAATGTGAGCTACCAACATTATTAAAACACACACACACTACATTTTCTTCTTAATGTGGCCACAGCATTAGAGTGTCAGCTTATTTTTGTATGACCAGAAATGGAAAGCAGAGTCGAGGTTGGGAAGGAGTTTCTGCCCTGTAACTCCAAGGCATATTTCTATATGAAAAATAATCATCACACCATTTAGCTAACTTAATTCCCAAACTGTGCTCATCAAAACTTGTGAAAACCTACTAAACTTATGCCAAATCAAAAAGAAATTTATTGAAGAATGTATCTATTTAAGTTTAACTCAATGTTCAGAGCCTGAATGTACAGGGAGGGTGTGCTCTCCACCCTGGCATGTGCGAGGTTCTCCTGGACCCCGTCCTGGGGTTCTCATACATCATCACAACCTGGAACAGGGAAAAGGCCAGTTTCACCAAGAAACCTGATAATATCACTCCGCGTGCTAAGTATAAGTATGCCAGGCTTGATTGAGCGAGCTGGAGAATGAACTGGAAAAGCAAACCCAGGAGTCTTAATCCCAGACTAAAATACATTCAGATTCCAGGGCAGAGGGGCCGCGCAAACAGGCCGGTTTGATTTTTGCAGCAGAGAGGGCAGCGGGAAAGCTTCGGCTCTCTGGCCTGTGGTAAGGCCAGCTCCGCGTCGCCTCCACAATCCCTCCTGTCCTGGCTGACGGTGTCTCTTATGCCAAGTGGAAGGAACGACAATCAATTTCGGAGACGTCGTGCAGATCCGCCCAGGCCCTGGGCTACTGGTTAGGCCAGTGTGCCAACCGATTAAACCCATTAACGACTCACGCGTACACAGCCAAGGTCTTCTCCCGCGGATTATGCGGCTGACCCTCGGGTTCAGCCATCCGTGCCCATAGTCTTTTACTGATTTCAAAGTATCTGAAAGCTTTCAAAATGTCTCCCCTCTCTCCAATTTTCTAGTTAAGAGGACTTGTTTTAACCACGTGTCTGAACTGCAACTCTCTCTGGTTAATTATTATTTGTGCTCGTCTCCAGTCTGCTGTGTGGACCTCGGGGGAGATACAACGGAGATGCCCCTCTGGCGAGCACCAGGGCTGGGCCCACCGGGGTAGGCTCCGGTGGGGCAAAGGGTGTTCCCTACACCAGATTTGAGCATCAGCGATCCGGCTCTGGCGTGTCCTCCGGTATGGTTGTTTAAAGTTAAAACGGCCGCTTTCAAATTGTAAGTGTATACATTTGCCCAGACATCCAGAATATTCTCCAGTAATTAATATATTTTAATTAAGCAGAGGGCATTAAAAAATTTTTTTCCTTAAAAAAAAAAAAATCCACTAACCCAGCGGCCACGCTGTGTGCTGCCGGAGCAGCTGGGAATGCAAAGTTTGTGGGGAGCTGCGGGGCTTGCAAGCCTCCCCGCCGCGGGCCTTGGGCCTCCCGGCCGGAAGGGCCTGGCTGCTCGGTTTAGGGAGATGGCTCTAGAGGCTGAGGAACTTACCGACTCCTGCGTCCAGGCCCAGCCCCAGTAGCCCCCAAGTCCGGCCGCTACGCGGGCCGGGGCGCCTGTCCCGCCCTGGACTCCCGGCTGCGCTCTGCGCTGCAGGCGCTCGGTGTGGGTTTCCAGAGCGATTTCATTCTTTATTCAGCGTTTTTAAGGCAATCAAAAGGCACGTAGCAGGTGGAGGGCAGCGGGCTAGGAGACCGCATAAATCTTCCTGTGGGGATTTCCACAGTCTGCCCCAGGTGCTTTTAAAACTGCCCGACGTGGTAGACTGTTCTCTGCCAGTTCCTCCCAGCCCGGCCCCCTGTGCGTCTGATCTCAGAAAATCCCGGGCTGCCTCCGGTGGGTTCCACCGAGAAGGGCACGAGTGATCGCCTGCCGCCGGGGCCCCGGCGTCAGCAACCCAAGAGGAGCCGGAGTGGTGACGGTAGAAGTAATAACAATGCGATCGATGACAATAGCTTACAATTAGAGAGGCCCCACGTGCCCGCCAGGCACCTGACCGCTCCAGCACACTCCCGCCTCCCCGCCCCGTGGAGAGCCACACAACCCGCAGCACCGAGGAGAGCACTGAGGCTCGGCCCGACCTCGCGACCCGCCAGAGCCAGGACTGCAGAGCCCCCATTCTTAGCAGCTGGCGACCACGGCCCGGGAACGGTGGGAAGGGGGACTGTCACGGCTGGCTAAACCTCGAGACTTGGGCAACTGCTAACAATAAAAACACCAAGGACAAAAGGGAGGGGGAGGGGTGGCTGGGAACAGAGCATTTTTAATCCGCTGGGTCAGCCCCCCTCCCCTTTTATCTTCTGTCCTCTCCGGGGACCGAAAGAGGGAATGGAGGCTGTGAGTGAAGTTCGGTTCGACTCTCCCCATTGGTTTTCCGAAGTCTACAGCCCCTTGGAAGCTTATAGGGCTTGTGGGGGGCCGGGAGTCGATTGAGTCACATTTGTGAGGGTTTTGGGGGGGACAAGAGGGTGACTAGATAGAAGGGATGGGGGCCGGGGGCCGGGCACCTGATTGGTGACGAGGTTTCCGAAGGCAGGAGCCTGGCCCCTAGGCTCACCAGCGCCTCACCGGAAATTCAGTGAACCCAACCGCTCACCCCAAAGACAGGCCGCTGCGGGAAGAGCGTTGGGAAGAAGTCTCGATTAAGACCTGGGGGCCGCTGTTCCTTTGGAACCGGACCCACAACCCGACTGGAGAACGGAGTTTCCGGAAGCCTCGACCTCCCGGCAACCCTCATTTCTTAATCAATGGGCCCTCCATATTTTGGGGGTCCCGACGTGTAAAGGGCCCGCCGATACGTGTTTTTCTGCCCTTGTTCTCACAGCACCCAAGACGGAGAGGCGGAAACGGGCCCGCAGTGCCGGGGGCGCAGGGAAGTCTTCAAAGCCGCGCGCCGCTCCGGCTCGCTGCAGTGCGCGCCTTTGCCCGACAGGGACCAGCACCGCTCCACAATCCGCGTGCCGCGCACCGCCGGCGGCCCACCCGTCCGCCAGGCGGAGGCGCCGGGCCACCCGCCAGCTCTCCCTCCCAGCCCGAGCTACTCTCCAGCGAGGCGAGTGTGACCCTCTTAAGGTTCGGGTTCCAGCAAGGAAGAGGGCTGTAACAAAAATAGTGACCAGATTCTCGGAGGCCTGAGCAAGGCACCGTCACTCCCACCTCCCACATCCCCATCTGGGGAGCAGAAGCTGCTCCAGAAGTTGGTCTAGGGCGGAGACTGTGGCCGACGGAGCGCGGAACGTCCCGGACGCCGAGAGAAAGAATAAAATACGAGCAACACTGGATTGATTCCTTTGAGACACCGCCACGGTTACAGGGTTGAGTGCCTGCCTGAGCGCCATCTCAGTCGCTGTCCCTCCTTCTTTGCGGAGGGCTTTACCGATTAATTCTAGGGTACTATGGGGCTCTGAGCTGCCAGAGCTCCTTGAGAAGTTATCTATGGCAAGAGCCTCCACCCCTCACCCCTGCACACCGGGTATCTCACTGGGGAGGGATTCTCAGCGCTGCGGACCCGCACCGCGCGTTCGTTCTCTCTGCCCCTCCCCGCCCCCGGTGGTCCGAGACTGTACCCTTGTCACTGCCCCAGCACACGCCTTGTCTGCCTCGTCTCCCTCCTCTCCCGTCTGGGTAGCAGCTGGCACCTCTGCCCCTGGCCCTGGCAGGGAAACTCACCGGTACCAGGCCAGGCCCTTGTCGTAGCTGCGGTCGAAGAAGTGGGGCTCGGCGCCCACGGCGCGCACGTCGGGGTGCACACGCAGGAACTCGAGCAGCGCCCGCGTGCCGCCCTTCTTCACGCCGATGATGATGGCCTGCGGCAGCTGCTTGCTCCCGGACCCACTAAAGAAGCTGGAGATGGGGCTGGGGGAGTCCGGCGCTTCGGGACTCTGCTCCTCTTGGCTCGCGGCTCCCTCGGCCCTCTCCTTGCCCGCAACCAACGGGGTAACTGGCGCCGCCTGGAACGGCAGCCTGGGGAAAGCCCCGTCGGGACCCGCGGCTAGGGCTGGCGAGGCGTGGACCGCGCGGGACCCAGAGCCCAGCAGCAGCAGCCCTGGCGCGGCGGCGCACGAGCTGGCGCACGAGTACAGAAACATGTAGAGCCAGATGCAAAGCATGGCGAAGAGCAGAGCGAGCTTCCTCCTCACCGGTGGCGGGGGCGGCTGAGGCTGCGGCAGAAGCCGGCCGGGGACATGGAGGCAGGATCGGCCGCCGCTCAGGCGCTGCCCCATGCGCTGCCCGCGGGCGCGGCGAGGGGCATGGCTCAGCACATGGCGCTGGTCTCGCCCGAGCCGTGCGTGCGGAGAGGGTTCTTTGGCCCTCCGGACGCTCGCTGGTGGGGTTTATTGCACCCGCGCGCCCGGGGCCACTGCTGCTGCTCCTGCTGCTCTTCCCCAGGTGGCGGCGGCTGCTGTAGCAGCCTCGGCTTTTGACATGTTGCCCGGGAGGAGCCGCAACTGGAACGAAAGTCGGGTGGCGGCAACTGCTGGTCTGGGGACGGCTCCTGCGGCGCGGGGCCCCGCTCTGGACCAGAAGAACCCGGCACTCCCTTTCCTGTCCACTCCGGACGGTGCGTGCGGCCGCTGGCCGGGGCTGCCTCCTCGCTGCCCTGCGAGCTGAGCCAGAGCAGCCCCGGCACCTCCTCGCAGAGGCTGCGAAGGAGAACTGCGCAGGAGAGTCTGAGACCGAGGTGGAGTGGGCGGGCCCGGCCACCGAGAGTGACAGGTCGCTCCACTTACCAGAAACCCGGACCACCTTGCAAGTACAGCCCCTTCGCTAAGGATTCAGCAGCCAACCAGCTCCCGGTACGTGAGGGTGTGGAAAGAGTTTGGGGCGGAGGAGAGTGATCTGGAGCTGCTATTGGCGGAGGGGCTAAGGGCGGGATCAGAAGGGCGGAGCCAGGGGCTGGTGACTGGAGCAGAGGGAGGGAAGGATGCAGGAATGACCCAGCTCTGGAAGAGGACAGACCCCACCGAGCGGTGCAGTTCGGGACCCTCGCGCATTTCCGGACTCGCTCCCCGGGAGCCAGCCTGGGCTGTAGTTGCCCATTTGTCTGGACGCGATTCCCCATCCAGCTGTTTCGCGGGCAGGCTCGCGACGTGCGTGTGTTGTAGGAGAGAGCGGGTTGGAGAAGCGAGACCAGGCAGGATGCGCAGGCAGTTCCCAAACCAGCGAGGGACTCAGAGGCGGGCCTTCCCGGGACAGGCACTGGGTTAGGAAGTTAGAGTGGAAAGCGTGTTTGGAAATCGCTGTGAATATTTATTTATTTATTTATTTAGCCAGTTTATTTTTCTGGGTCGGCCAGTTAGGTGGAATCGGTATAAGCTGTCCTCAGGAAAAAAATTTTCCCACTTCCCAAACTTCTGGAGAAAGAGTGTAAAGGGGAGGGAGAAGTTAATAGGGAAATAAAGGCTGATATTTAAAAAAAAAAAAGTTTCCTGATGGAAAGTGAATGTGAAAGTCAAGTCTAGAAAGTTTTGTCCTTACATGAGTTTGTTCGGAACGTTAAGTTTAAGAAAATGTTCAATCCTCCCTTTTCCTTAAACAAATAATACAACAAACGCCTTTATTTAGGAGACAGTTTGGTTTGCTGACCCGTTACACTAATTATTAGGTGCTGTTTTTTTTTCTCATCAATTTTTTAAATCAAACTAGGAGCAAATCGATCACTGAGTTGCATTTATTTAATAGTCAAAGTCCACTGGAAGCCGCTCTCCCTTGCGACGCGGACCCTCCCGGCGCGGGCGCGGGCGCGGGCGCGGGGGAGCTGAGCTGGCACGGAGCCGCAACCCCGCCCGCGGCTGACCGTGGGTGCAGCCGCCTGCAGCGGTCTTGCCGCGGCGCCTGGAATTTGCAGGGTCACCGCCCTCAGGTTCATCCCGGTGTGTTGAGAAGTTTTCGGTGCCTGCAACCTGGCTCCTGCGGAGTCCACGGGCCTCCATCGCCTGGCTGCGCGCGGTTCCGGGACACACGTGCCTTCCGATTCCGACCCCAGCGCGTCAACAGGGCTTGAGAGTCGTCCGCCAGGGGACTCGCGGAGAGCCGCCGCCCACGCGGCATTTCGCCAGCCGCTCCGGAGGACGCGGCGGATCCTACTCGAGAGCCCTGGCGGCTCCGCCGCGCTGTCCCAGGCCGGCTAGCCTCGGGCCTCCGGCCCCGCACACTCTCGCTTCCTTCCTGGGTAAACATCCCCAAGTGTCCCAAGGCTCCGGAGCTGTACTCTGGGTGCGGGCTTCCAGCGCGGCGAGCACCCTGAAAAACTTAGTGGTCCTGAAGCACCCCCAGGTTCGAAACTGTGCGGGACAGCGGCGGCCGGGACCCGGGAAGGTTCAGATCACGCCGCTGTCACTTAAGGGACCGACGCCCGCGGACTATACTCCGCGCGACCTCTTTCTAAATACCCTGAGCCCCTGGATATCGTCCTACAAAACTGTTTGAGAGAGAAGTAATTGAGATAAAGGATTTTCCTTCCCCTTTTATTCGCAGATTTTTTTTTTCAGCTTTAGTCTTCCCTTGTCGCTTGGTTGTTGTGTTTGTTCTTTGGGAGAAGTAACTTATTCCTCGTGTGTGTGTGTGTGTGGGTGTGTGTGTGTGTGTGTGTGTGTGTGTGTGTGTGTGTCTGACTTCTGAAACGTGAGAATACGTTTCTGACCGACTCTTTATTTTGGAAATATGAGAGGGAACCGATGGTGTCTCTGAAGAGGGTGTCTTCAAAATCACGTTATTTCTGGGGGAAATGAAGTTATTGTCTTCCACCTTCAGGCGGCCAGGAGTTTGCTGACTCCCGTGGGTTTAGGGGAGAGGGCGGTAGTGGCTTATGGTTTGTGTGTGTTCAGGAGAATCGTAGCTCCCGCGTGGCTAACTTCAGGCCTGGTTGGGTGTGAATCTTACAGTGTTAAAAAAAAAAAAAAAAGGTTTTGATAATCCTAATAAAAATGGTCTCTGCCTTGAGGGTTAGCAAAGTCTGTGTAAAAGGCGGGGGCGGGGAGGTGAGCTATTATAAAGGGAGGCCGCCTGATATATTTAGGAGTTTTTTCCTCCGGGGGTGAAGGGAGGGAAGGAGTGGAAACCCAGACGTGGGAGTCGGCGATGTTCCGAGCGCTCGCCGCCCCGAGCCAAGTCCGAGCCTGCGTCCACCTGCGCGCGGTCCGCCCCGCCGACGAGAACGAGGAGGGGCTCGAGGTGCTCGCCGCGCGCAGGGCCTCCTGCCGCCCCAGGTCGGCGGGTCGCTCGCGGTGTGAGCGGCGCCTAGCAGAGTGTGAAGCGGCAGTGGAGCAGGACCGGGGCGCTACCCAATGCTTTGGCCCTTTTGTCCACCTGACGGGTCGCCCGCGGAGCCCTGGAGCCCCAGGCTGAGCCTCGGAACATCCACGCGCGGCTGGCGACGCAGGCTCTGCCCTTGGCAAACACCGTCTCCCTCACCGTCCCGTTCTTGCAGATGCAGAGCCTGAGGCTCAACCCTGAACGGAGCTGCTGGCGGCCTTGACCGTGAACCCAGCGAGAGTCTCTGCCATTAACCACGGCTCCTTATTAGAAGGTTCTTTCCCCCCACGCCCAAGCCCGGCCCTCAGGAAAGCGCCACCACCCAAACCCGGAGCAAGTTTCACCTTTGATAAACTTTTTCAAAATTGTTGTACTTGGAAAAACTAGAAAAGGAATGAATTCCATGCCAGCACACCTGCAAGGTCTGCGTCTTAGTTTGGTTAGTTTGTTTGGGACTCGCTAATGGGGCTGCCCACCTGGAGACTCGAAGGGGTCTAATCCAGGCAGCCGCTCTGCTTTAGAAAGGGACAGGGCCGCCTCAGCGGGCCGTCTCCTCTTCCTCCTTCCCCAGGTCCGGCTCTCAACGACCCGCGGTGTGGCCCCAGGCAGGGCACTCTCTGGCTGTAAAATTCCCCATGTGTAAAATACGAGACTTGAGCCACATAATCTCCGCGATACGTGTCACCTGAAGCTTCTGATTCTGGGCTCGGGAGGGGAGGCGCCCGCAGGTGCTCGCCGCCCTGCCAGCTTCGCTTGACGGCGCACTGCGTCCCTGGCCCGTGGCCCACCGCTGCTCCCCGCTCAGTGGGCTCACTCCGTGGAGCTACCTGAGCCGGTGGCCGGCGCTCCAGTGCCTGTCAGCAGTACCTTACCCTCCTCCACACACCCTCACCTGCCCAGCCAGGCAGGTGGTCCCTGGGGAGTCCGCTGCCGCAAACTGGCTCCGCCCACCGGCCGCGACTCCGTGCCCGCCCGCAAGGGGGCGCTCTGAGAGCTGCCGGGTGGCAGGAGGCGGAGAGGGGCCTGTCACTGCCGGAAGTTTACCGCAGCACACAGGAAAGGAGACTTTCCCCTCTGCTAGGGCCCTGGAGCAACTCCCCAGCCCCCCGCGTGGCCGCCCAAGTCTCCGAGATGTCCAACTGGTCGCGGTGCCCTTCTCTCCCGGGGGTGGGTCGAGGGTGCCACTCATCAGGCCGGGAGCTACTGGCCAAACACACTTCGGGGCTTAGAAATGTCTTGTATGAGTGGCTGGAGGGCTCCACCGAGAGCAAAGAAACACTTCCCAGCGCTGAGTGCCAGCTGTGCCTTGGGGAATGAGTACCCACTAGCCTCAGCTCTGGCCACCCACGGCCCCACGCGTCCACATGCAGTGCGTCGTTGCAGTGCGCACTGCACTGGGGGAGGAGCCCTCTGAAAATCAGAGAGGTGGGACGATTGCTACTATCTTAGAGAGAACAGCAGTTTGGCGCACAGATTGGTGTGGTGACTCGTGTCCTGAGAAGTCAAGGTCATGCACTGATTCCAAATCCCTCCTCCGTGGGGCATCCCTACTCTGGGCCAGAGGTTCCTTTGCCCTCAAGAAATGGTGGCAAGACTGAGAGATAAGAATTTATGCCCAGGATCCCTCCTGGCTGAGGCATCAAAGGCTAGCTGTGGCCCTGCCCAAAATGTCTTTTCCACAAAGGCCTTGCTGCCCCAGGTTCTGCAGTGACCGTCAGGCTCACTCCTCAGGCCTGAGATGGTCCAGACAGCTCGCCTTCCACCACTGAGGCACGGGGATGTTCCTGAGTGTTCTCCCTCTGCTGACACCTTTGTAAGTAGTTCTTTTATTACACACACTCCTCAGATTACCAGCTGGAGTGTGACACGTCTGTCCCACCCGGACCCTGGCTGTGATGCACCAGGGCTGCATGACTTTTCCTAATCTGGTTCCCAGCCACTTCCCGGCTGTGTGACACTGAACAAGTTACACAGCCCCCCGCCCCCCCGCCCCCGCCCCCAGCCTCAGAACCACTGTCTGTCGCTGCCACCTCTCCTGTGCATGCCTTCAGCTCCTC